CACACACACACACACACACACACACTCTCACACACACACACACACACACACACACACATACACACTCACTCACTCACTCACACACACACTGATGAGAGATTCCTCGTCTCTTTATGTTCTGCTACAATAGCTCTTTGTTAGACACATGGAAAGGAATCTCTTTCTCTCTTTTCGCTCTCAGTCTGTCTTTTATCAAATCTAGTCTTGTTCATTCTCAAAATCACAAACAAAGTAAAGTATGACCGACATAACAAGAATCATGTCTGTGATTTTCCAGCAGCATTCAGTGATCTTGCAGAACATCTGTCCATCTGTGATTCTCTCGTTCTTTCACAGGACAGACGTATAGCTGTCTTTTGTTGTGCCGTCCTGCTGTCGGTCATCAGAAACTCCCACCGGCAGATGTTTTACAGTGTCGTCCTGAAACTGACTGGACGAGCGGAGCTGATGACCGAACGCATACATGAGCTCTGAAGCGCGAGCGAATCACATTCATCCTCCACAGAGGGACAGACAGTGAGTGACCCATCTCACCTCTGGGTTTCTATTACCAGTCACTAAAACTAAAACCATAAAAACACAGCGTCGTTACTTGAAATAAAAGAACAGTTAACTGAAATAAAATATAAAAAAAATAAAAATAAACGTATTTTATTTCAGCTAGTTGCCATCTCAACATTTATCGTTTTTATTTATTTAAACATTAAGTACTAAAATAACTGTTAATATATTAGAAATTAATATACAAACATAATTAAAAAAATATAGTAAATAATAAATAGAACACAAATGCTTGAAAAATTATTTAAAAAAATGAGTAAAACTTGAAAATGAAAATAAAATATAAAAATAAAATAAAATCGAATTCAAAATAATAACTAAAACTATAATATATCAAAAATACTAAAATAACACTAGTTTATCTTTAATATTACTTTTTTCCCTTATTTTATAAAAATGATAAAAAAAAACTTTAAATGAAAACAGAATATACAGTGTATATATATATATATATATATATATATAAATCTAATTCAAAATATTAACTAAAATTATAATAGTGTCACAAACCTGCACAGGGACACGAAGGCTGAGGATCCAAGTGCAGTAGTTTATTAAAGTCTAATCAAGTCACCTTTATTTATATAGCGCTTTAAGCAGCTTTACAATGTCAAACAGGAAAATAGTTTGTCAATAATGCAAGAAGACATTAAAAAACAAAAGTAAATTTTTCAGTTAAGGTCAGTTCATTGATGATTCAGTGATGTCATCATCCAGTTCAGCTCTCTTCCAATAGTGTCTGTGCCATCAAACCGACAATATTGCCAGAAATTAAGCTTCCCCAACTAAGCAAGCCAAAGGTGACAGTGGCAAGGAACCGAAACTCCATCGGTGACAGAAATGGAGAAAAAACCTTGGGAGGAACCATACTTCTTATGGAAATTGTTCACGATTCCAGTTGACCTAATTAATGCAGCCTAACAATCCTTTAACGGATTTGAATTATAGAAAAGTGATCGTGTGTTACGTGTATGCCAGGTTAAAGAGATGGGTCTATAATCTAGATTTAAACTGACAAAGTGCATTCCATTAGTTTTGCAAATAGGTATGTATTGTCGTGCTGCAGAGAAATATAGAGCTGAGTATCATCAGCATAACAGTGAAAGCTAACACCATGTTTCTTGATGATATCTCCCAAGGGTAACATGTAAAATATGAAAAGCAGCGGTCCTAGTACTGAGCCTTGTGGTACTCCATACTGTACTTGTGATCGATATATCTTGTCATTTACTGCTACGAATTGATGATGGTCAGATAAATAAGATTTGAACCATGACAATGCAATTCCACTAATGCCAACATAATTTTGTAGTCTACTCCAAAGAATGTTGTGGTCGATAGTGTCGAACGCAGCACTAAGATCCAGGATCTATGACTTCTAGAAGCACCTCTTTTAGTAGCTTAGATGGTATAGGGTCTAACATACATGTTGTAGTTTTAGATGATTTAACAAGTTTATACAATTCTTCCTGTCCTATAGTAGAGAATAAGTGGAATTGTTCCTCAGGGGATCTATAGTGCACTATCTGATGCGATACTGTGGCTGACGGCTGCATGGTTATAATTTTATCTCTAATAGTATTGATCTTGGAAGTAAAGAAGTTCATAAAGTCATTACTGCTGTTCTGTTGGGAAAAGTCTGCATCTGTTGATGCTTTATTTTTCGCAGTAGCGAACCGTGACTTTTGAACCTTGGCCCTCTCCCCCTACCCTCTACCCTCGTCGGGGGGGAAAACAGACTACCAGCCTAGAGTCTAATTCTAAAAGTCATCTTTGACAATTCCACCTTTGAAACAAGAGGCTATTCCAGCCGTAATGCGGTCACATATCGGACGAGAAGCGCATGTAATATTCGAACACATTGTTTTCTACACGCGCACCGGCGGCACCACCGGCCTCCATGCTTTGACTACAATAGACCGCACTTTCTCATTCTGTTTGCTCTGTTTTTTTTTTAATCACTGAACTTCAAACTCATTGACACCACTTGCTCATTCTTGAAGTGAATGTTTGACTGTTTGGAGAGTAGATTAAAGGTTTTGGACTGCCATCTCGAACTGAACGCGACGCGTCCGGTGTGCGATAAGTTGCCCTAGACTCACGCATCGTACGGCGGCGGCGCTGCGCTTCTCGTCCGGTGTGCGACCGCCTTTCTGAAATGCAACAAGAAAACAGCGCAGCGAGAGTGACTGATATCACCAAGATAAAATATAGCTACATTTAAGTCAAATGAAAATCCTCATTACAAATGCAT